AGCGGTCATGGACGGGGTCCTGGTCAGGCAACAGGTTGGGGAACAGGTCAGGGAAGCGGTCAGGCAACAGGTCAGGGAAGCGGTCAGGCAACAGGTCAGGGAAGCAGTCAGGCAACAGGTCAGGGAACAGGTAATGGAAGAGGTCATGGAAGCGGTTATGGTCAGGGAAGGGGTCATGGAAGTGGTCCTGGTAAGGGAAGCGGTCATGGACGTGGTCCTGGTCAGGCAACAGGTTGGGCAACAGGTCAGGGAACAGGTCAGGCAACAGGTCAGGCAACAGGTCAGGGAAGCGGTCCTGGTCAGGGAAGCGGTCATGGTCAGGCAACAAGTCAGGGAAGAGGTTGGGGTCAGGGAAGTGGTCATGGAAGTGGTTATGGTCGGGGAAGCTTTCAGGTAAGCGGTCATGGTCAGGGAAGCGGTTATGGTCAGGGCAGCGGTCAGGGAAGCTTTCAGGTAAGCGGTCATGGTCAGGGCAGTGGTCATGGTCAGGGCAGTGGTCATGGTCATGGTCAGGGAAGCGGTCATGGTCAGGGAAGCTTTCAGGGCAGTGGTCATGGTCAGGGCAGTGGTCAGGGAAGCTTTCAGGGAAGCGGTCATGGTCAGGGCAGTGGTCAGGGAAGCGGTCATGGTCAGGGCAGCGGTCAGGGAAGCGGTTATGGTCAGGGAAGCGGTCATGGTCAGGGCAGCGGTCAGGGAAGCGGTTATGGACAGGGAAGCGGTCATGGACAGGGCAGCGGTCAGGGAAGCGGTTATGGTCAGGGCAGCGGTCAGGGAAGCTTTCAGGTAAGCGGTCATGGTCAGGGCAGTGGTCATGGTCAGGGCAGTGGTCATGGTCATGGTCAGGGAAGCGGTCATGGTCAGGGAAGCGGTCAGGGCAGCGGTCAGGGAAGCGGTTACGGTCAGGGAAGCGGCGAGGGAAGCGGTTATGGCCAGGGAAGCGGCCAGGGTCAGGGCAGCGGTCAGGGCAGCGGTTATGGTCAGGGAACCATCCCTGACCATATGTTTCCCTGAGACCTGGACGTTTAGCAAAGGATTAGCCAGGATTAGCCAAATGCTAGGAATAACCTTAATCTTTTTTTTATTATTATTATTATTATTATTATTATTATAAGCCTATAAATGCAGAGGTCCGGCTCTCATGCTGGGAATGGCAGCGTGTTCAACTTCATGCGGAGCCGCGCAGACTGATCAACGAAAGTTGCAGCTTGCTGTCGGGGTGGAATTGACTTATCGGTAAGCCCCTCCCCTCGAACGCAGATGAGACAATGGCCGTTGACTACCAGCTGCACAGGGACCGGAAATCGGACATCTTTATGGCAGCGTCCGAAAGCTCTAAAATGCTGCCCAAGGTCAGGGAAGCGGTCAGGGAAGCGCTCATGGTCAGGGAAGAGGTGATGGTCAGTGAAGCGATCAAGGTCAGGGAAATGGTCAGGAATGTGGTCACAAACGGTCATGGGACTTTTGCATAACACCTACTGGAGAATTTTTTTTTTTTTTTTTTTTTTTTTTTTTTTTTTTTTTTTGT